GTTTTAAGATCAGCTTAGCCCACTTTCTCTCCTTCTAACAACCTTGTCTCCTTCCTTACAAAGCCTTAACCACAAGCACTATTGCAAGAAAAAAGAACACGGAACTATATCAATGGGAAGAGCACCTTGCTGTGACAAAAATGGACTCATGAAGAAAGGTCCCTGGACCCCTGAAGAAGATCAAAAGCTCACCGCTTATATTCAACTTCAGGGACCTGGAAACTGGCGTTCCCTCCCCAAAAATGCTGGTATGTGTGTGTGTGTGTGTGATCGTTAATTTATGGATGATGGATTTTTTGCTTTATTTTTCTTATAACTTAGCTTGTTGCATTCATTGTATAGGGCTCCAAAGGTGTGGAAAGAGCTGTCGTCTTCGTTGGACAAACTACCTGAGGCCTGATATCAAGAGAGGAAGATTTTCATTTGAGGAGGAAGAGACTATAATTCAACTTCACAGTATTTTGGGAAACAAGTAAGACTATTATCCCTTCGGATTTTGATTTTTATTGATATTTTTTCTCCTTGGTATCTTGTAGGATTAGTATGCCAGTCATTAATAACAATTTTTCTGCCATGATAGTCATAAATTAACTTGAATAATTAGGATAACAATTCCAAGTTTCTTTTCAATTTTAGGTGGTCAGCTATCGCAGCTCGTTTACCAGGAAGAACTGACAATGAAATCAAGAATTATTGGAACACTCATATAAGGAAAAGGTTGCTTAGAAATGGAATTGACCCAGTGACTCATGCCTCACGTCTTGATCTTCTTGACCTATCCTCTATTCTGAGTTCAACTTTGTGTAACCCATCATCACTACTCACTCTGTCAACCTTGGTGGGCAATACTCAAGCCCTACTAAATCCTGATATTTTTAGACTATCCACCACTCTATCATCGTTGAAACAAGAAAATTCAGACCTGTTTTTTCAGCAACTACAAGAAAACCAGCTTTGCAGCTCTCTGTTACAAAACCAAGCTATCCCTACATTATCGTCACAACCTAGCCAGTTTCAGAATCTAGTTGAGCTAATTCCTGCTTGCACTACTACTACATCTACTGGCCCATTTCTAAACCAAACAGCACCATTTATGCTAGCAAACGTGGAAGGGTTTTCACCGAATACAACAAGTACTTTTAGCTGCCAAAATTCACAAGAAAATTTCTTGCCTTTCGACGGGGGCTTGGTTTCACAGCCAAACTTTTATTGCAAAGGGCTCGAAGACGCTTTCGAAAAGAAATAAGACAAGGGCTCGAAGGCACGCTCGAATGGAGGTAGGATAGGAAATGCACTACCTTTGATGGTCGAGGGCTCGAAGGCACGCTCAAATGGAGGTAGGATAGGAAATGCGCTACCTCAGGAGTGGAAAATGAAAGGTAGTGGAAAAATAGAGAGATTTTTCCAGTAGCCTAATTCTCATGGGCGACCTGCCCAGGTTGAAAAATTCTCAAAAGTGAAAATTTTTCAAAAGTAATTTCAATGCTTGCCATTTCAAGTTGGCCTTCCACTTGATGGATTTCGTTAGAATTTTCTCTAATAAAAATTTACAAAACTCATTGTCCAAGGTCTCAAAGTTTAAATGATATGCATACATCTTTACCTGATTTGAAATATAGGCCCCCATTTCTTCTTAATCTTCTTGTTGCTAGGTTGGTGAGATCTTGTTATCTGATTTGAGTCATCTTTGTCGTTTAGCTTTCTAGCCCACTTGAGTTGGCTCATATAAGTCTATTTCCAAATTTAAGTGTATAACTCAGCATTTTTGGTGCCCATCGTGACCCACTTGTCTGCTAAAGATTTTCTGATTTGTCAAATAATTTAAGAGGATCACTCATTACTCCTCGTTTCACTGCTAGAAACATTCGGTGTCACTTGCTGAAAGGATCAAGCTGTCTTTTGTAAACCAAAATGCCCCCTTGTCTGGTTAAAGGAAATTACCATCTCCTTTTCTAGAATTTTTCCTTTTAAACACAATGTTGCCTCCTTGTATTGGTTATTGCCTCTAAGTGTGCTCTCTTAGTGATTTGGACAAATAATGGTTCTAAGAGGTCATTCTCTCATATCTATCCTTTTTTCTGTTTGGTGAAGGAATATGGGTCTAGAATGAATCTTGAAATCTTGATCTTGCATTTTGAAAACAAAAAATTATTTCGATGTGAGTCTAAAACAATTTGCTTTTGAAATCTTGCAACTCCTTGGTTATTTTTCTTTCTTGGAAAAGAGATTATTTGTTCTTGTGTTTGGCAATGCGGTCTTCGGTGAAAATATGTCATGATATTATGACCTTTTGCTTTTATAAGTTTTCAGAGTGGAGGGCTCGAGAAAAAGCTCGAGGTTTTGTATGAGAAGAATTTGTCTCTTTTTGCACATTTATTTTTATCAGCATGAATAATAATGAATAGTTTATTCTTGATGTCATGAATCTTATGAAAAAGTATTCTTTGCATTTTGAGAGCATTGTTTATTGTTCTAGGTTGCTTGCTTGCTTGATTAGAAAGGACTTCTATAGGCACGTAACGTAGGCTGTGGTTTTTGGCTATGAAAGAAAATGATTCATAAGGCTCAAAGAGTGTTTCAGGGCTTCAAAGACTGAGAATCACTATTAACAGTTTGACTATTGATGTCATTCATATTTTCTTTTGCCGCTCTTCTTTGATTTGTTGCTTTTTTTTTTCATTGCTTTGCTTATAGAGCATACTCACTTTATCTTGGTTATCACTTTTTCTTGTGATTTGGGCATGCCCCCTAGCATTTGAGTTTCTTGAGCTTTTTTGACTTTTGGCTTTCTCACAGCTTTATCATCTTTCTTGATAATTGAAATTTCACTTGCCCCCAGTGTGGGGTGTGATCCTAGTCGGGATTTTTTTTCTATGAAAGAAAAAATTGTTCAGGCTCAAAAAGGGTTTACAAGGGATGTATTTATTTTAGAACGTGAAAGGAAATAACAAAGATGGCCTTTCCTCATTTCAAGCGCGAGCAGCTATAATCAATAAACTTTGCCCTCGTATAGTATGATGGTTTATTCTTTGCAAAGATGCATTTCATGAGTTATAAGCAACAAGTTCACTACATACCATTATTCATACATTAAAAAAAACATGATTCAAGAGTAATGGGGTAAAGGTGTTTATTCATTTCTTTTTTTTTTTTTTTTGTTTTTTTTTTATTTAGTCACCTCAATGATGGAGTTGCTTGATTCACTTGTCATTTTACAAGTAGAATGTCAAAAATATTATTTTTTGAATAAACATCAAATTACTTTTGAAATCAAAATGCTAGATCAATTTTTCAAAACTCCAATAAGGAAACTGATTTTGATAAGAGAGATGAATTGCATCTATGAGATCGTGCAAGGCTTCAAAGATGTGTTTGTGAGTTTTTATAAGCAAACTCTCTCAAGAAAATGAATAATGCTTGGTTGTAAACATGATTAAATGACAAACTCATTATTTCATTGAAACTTTGGAAAAGAAGTTTAACAACAAAGAATTCATGCCAACATCTTGGGCTATGAACACTGGCATGATAATATATAAAGGGGCTAAACATTTAGTGATCATTGATTGGAATTTCTAGAATTTTTCAATCGTTTATTCTCCTTGACAAGGGCATCTTTTCAATAGTCAATTCAAGTCATTTGTAGATCATTCTTGACCTAATATCACCATAGCTTTATCTTCAAGATAATTGATTTCTGGGAGTTGGTGTGAGGCAATTAACTATAGGAATGATAAGTGTCTTGGCAACCACCTTCAGTGAACCTGTTCTTCTCACTCAGGTTAGCAATCTTACCAAATCCAATGGCTTGTGTAATCCTCTTAGCTATAACAACCATGTCAGTGAAATGTTGTGCAGAGCTTCTAACCAAGTATTCAAAGTACAAAGCTTTAAAGTTGTTGGAAAATAAACTAATCATCTCTTTTTCCAACATAAGAGGGTTAACTTGTACAGCTATCTCCCTCCATCTTCGGGTGTATTCCCTTATGGACTCCTTGTTGTCCTTCTCCATAGCTTGCAAGTTTAACCAATCAGGGCTCATGTCTATATTGAACTTATATTGCCTCATAAAGGCATCAACTAAATCCTTCCATCTTTTAACCTTAGTCTTATCCAACCACATATACCAAGTGAGGGCAATGTCACTCAAATTGTCTTAAAAGAAGTGAATCAGCAGTTTCTCGTTATAGCCTCCTTCATCTATTTTGTTGTAGTATGCCTTGAGATGAGTTACAAGGCATTGAGCTTATATATATTTGATGAATTCTGGCACCCTAAACTTCCTAGGAATGATTGTGTTAGGTACCAAACACATCTCAGCAGCTTTTATGTGGTCACGTAAGCTAGTTCCCTCAAATGCCCTCAGCCTTTGTTCCAAGGCAGCCCATTTATCCAGGCCATCTTATTTTACTATCTCGTTCTTTTGAGATTCCTTTATTGTAAGGTCAATGGTAGATGACATTCTAATGGGATATGCTAGTTGAGCAAATTGGAAATACATAGCCTATTGAGACACCTCAATTGCCCCCAGATTCTATGGATTTCCGAGCATAGGTTTAGGCTGAGTTGTAGATTTTGCTTCTTTTGGTTTAGATCTTAAGGCCTATTCAAGTAGGCTAGTAAGCTTTGTGACTTCTTCTCTAAGACTTTCCGTCTCTTTTCGGTGTTGGGCTTCCAACTAGGCTTTTTCTTCGTTTTCCATTTATTTATTTTTCGCAATTAAGTGTTATAAGCGTGTTTCGATGGGGGACCTATATTTCACCTGGAGTGCAATATTATGACAGGTCATAATTGTATGTTCAAACATGCATGAAGATGAATACAACATATTGGGTATGGATTTGCCTTTTGGGGGGTGACATAATGATCGCTATTTTTTAAAATGTGTGGTCAGATTCGAATCCGATATTCATTACAATGCCGAGAGGAGATCTGTTTAGCTTTTTGTCATCTGAGCTTTCAGCCACATTCTTGGTGTCTTTCACTAAGCAGTAATGGTATCTCACCGACATCCAGTCTAAAGCAGTCTCCCTCGGTCATTTGCAAGAATTCAGACTAGAGTCTATGCTCAACAATTGTTGTCTTAGGAACAACGGTTATTATATCACCCAAAAAGCCTTGTAATAATGATGCTTACACGTTTAAGCTTTATCTCAGTAAAGTTATGCAGGGATCAACCTAAAGGATAGGTTTTGATCATTAAATGTTTCAGGTTAATTTTGCTATCTAGTCTCAAAGGTCTTTCGCATGCTCAGTGATCGCCCTCAAAAGGTTGATATGAGGTTTACAAGCAGTATGAAGATAGAGGCCCTGAGTAATATCAGTTCGGCATATCAACCACTATCGAGCAAACAATCATGCGAGAGTTGGATAGTTTCACGAGCCTTACCCAGGCTAAAGCCATTGGGGTGCCGTTACTCCTCCACTTATCCTAAAGTTGATACCACATGTAAAAAATGAGATAAGTGATGTGTGA